TTTTTTTTTTTTTTTTTTTTTTTTTTTTTTTTTTTTTTTTTTTTTTTTTTTTTTTTTTTTTTTTTTTTTTTTTTTTTTTTTTTTTTTTTTTTTTTTTTTTTTTTTTTTTTTTTTTTTTTTTTTTTTTTTTTTTTTTTTTTTTTTTTTTTTTTTTTTTTTTTTTTTTTTTTTTTTTTTTTTTTTTTTTTTTTTTTTTTTTTTTTTTTTTTTTTTTTTTTTTTTTTTTTTTTTTTTTTTTTTTTTTTTTTTTTTTTTTTTTTTTTTTTTTTTTTTTTTTTTTTTTTTTTTTTTTTTTTTTTTTTTTTTTTTTTTTTTTTTTTTTTTTTTTTTTTTTTTTTTTTTTTTTTTTTTTTTTTTTTTTTTTTTTTTTTTTTTTTTTTTTTTTTTTTTTTTTTTTTTTTTTTTTTTTTTTTTTTTTTTTTTTTTTTTTTTTTTTTTTTTTTTTTTTTTTTTTTTTTTTTTTTTTTTTTTTTTTTTTTTTTTTTTTTTTTTTTTTTTTTTTTTTTTTTTTTTTTTTTTTTTTTTTTTTTTTTTTTTTTTTTTTTTTTTTTTTTTTTTTTTTTTTTTTTTTTTTTTTTTTTTTTTTTTTTTTTTTTTTTTTTTTTTTTTTTTTTTATTTTTTTTTTTTTTTTTTTTTTTTACTCTACATATTATAAAAGCAATGTATAAAAATTTTCAACATAGTGTGTTTATATTTCTTCAAAAAAGATAAAATGAGTGTCCCGAATAGAATGAGTAAGCAGTTTAAAAATCAGTGTAACTAATCTTCCGAGCAGAATTTCTTATCAATTGTATCTTACAGAATTTAAAATCACAGAATTAAAGGAAGCATCTATGTAAACGAAACCTCGCGCGACGGCGACCTGCAATCTTCTGATTCAGACGCCTTATCCATAGGCCACGCGGACTGAAATTTTGTAACTCTATATATATAAGAACGCTTTTGTATAAAACCTATTTCAACATATTTGTTTATAGTTCTCTAAAATACATAAAATGGACGTCTCGTCGATAAATGGATGCAATGATTTAACAAAATCGGTGTCAATCTAATCTTCCGGAGAAGACAATTTATTTTATCAAATAACCTATAGCAAGTTAAAATCAGAATTAAAAGGAAGCATCTATTAAACGAAACCCGTCCGCGACAGGATTGAACCTGCAATCTTCTGATTCGAAGTCAGACGCCTTATCCATTAGGCCACGGACTGAAATTCTTTGTAACTCTCTACATATTATAAGAACGCATTATGTATAAAAATTTTCAACATAGTATTGTGTTTATACTTCTCTTCAAAATACGATAAAATGGACGTGTCTCGTCGATAGAATGGAGTAAGCAATGATTTAAAAAATCGAGTGTCAATCTAATCTTTCGAGCAGACATTTATTTTATCAATTTATCTCTACAGCAATTTAAAATCACAGAATTAAAGGGAAGCATCGTATGTAACAGAAACCTCCGTCCGGACAGGATTCAACCTGCAATCTTCTGATTCGAAGTCAGACGCCTTATCCATTAGGCCACGCGGAAGAAATTCTTTGTAACTCTACATATATAAAGAACGCATTGTATAAAAACTGTTTCAACATAGTATTGGTTATATTTCTTCAAAAATCGATAAAATGGACGTGTCTCGTCGAATAGAATGGAGAGCAATGATTTAAAAATCGAGTGTCAATCTAATCTTCCCGAGAGAGACAATTTATTTTATCAAATATATCCCTAGCAAGTTAAAATCACAGAATTAAAGGAAGCATCGTAGTGTAAACAGAAACCTCCGTCGCGCAGGATTCGAACCGAATCTTCTGATTCGAAGTCAGGCCTTATCCATTAGCACGCGGACATGAATTTTGTAACTCTCTACATATATAAGAACGCTTATGTATAAAATTTTCAACATATATTTTTTATATTCCTCAAAAATACGATAAAATGGACGGTCTCCGATAGAATGGAGTAAGCAAGATTTAAAAATCGAGGTTAATCTAATCTTCCGAGCAGACATTTCATTTTATCAATTGTATCTCTACAGAATTTAAAATCACAGAATTAAAGGGAAGCATCGAGTGTAAACAGAAACCTCCGTCGCGACAGATTCGAACCGAATCTTCTGATTCGAAGTCAGCGCCTTATCCATTAGGCCACGCGGACAGAAATTCTTTGTAACTCTCACATATTATAAGAACGCTTATGTAAAAAACTTTTCAACATAGTATTGTGTTTATACTTCTCTTCAAAAACGATAAAATGGACGTGTCTCGTCGAATAGAATGGAGTAAGCAATGATTTAAAAAATCGAGTGTAATCTAATCTTCGAGAGAAGCAATTTATTTTATCAAATATATCCCTATAGCAAGTTAAAATCACAGAATTAAAGGGAAGCATCGTATACAGAAACCTCGTCCGGACAGGATTCGAACTGCAACTTCTGATTCGAAGTCAGAGCCTTATCCATTAGGCCACGGGACATGAATTTTGTAACTTCTCATATTATAAGAACGCTTATGTAAAAATTTTCAAATAAGTATTGTGTTTATATTCTTAAAAATACGATAAAGATGTCTGCGAATAGAATGGGTAAGCAATGATTTAAAAAATCGTGTAACTAATCTTTCCGAATTATTTATCTTTTCAAGTTAAAATCAAGAATTAAAGGAAGCATCTTTTAACGAAACCTCTCCAAGTTGCCTGCAATCTTCTGATCGAGTCGCGCCTTATCATTAGGCCACGCGGCATGAATTTGTAACTCACATATTATAAGAACGCATTATGTATAAAAATTTTCAACATAGTATTTGTTTATACGTTCTCTCAAAATACGATAAATACTCTCGTCAATAAATGGATAGCAATGATTTAAAAAAATCGAGGTCAATCTATCTTTCCGAGAGACATTTTATTTTATCAATTATCTATAGAATTAAAATCACAGAATTAAAGGAAGCATGTATTTAAACGAAACCTCGTCCCGAAGATTCGAACCTGCAATCTTGATTGAAGTCAACGCCTTATCCATTAGGCCGCGAATGAATTCTTTTAACTCTCATATATATAAGAACGCATTTGTATAAAAATATTTCAAATAATTTTTAGTTCTCTTAAATACGATAAAATGACGTTACGAATAAGGGAATGGAGTAAGCAATGATTTAACAAATCGAGTGTCAATCTAATCTTTCGAAGAGAGAGACAATTTATTTTATCAAATATATCCCTAAGCAATTTAAAAATCACAGAATTAAAAGGGAAGCATCGTATTGTAAACAGAAACCTCCGTCCGCGACAGGATTCGAACCTGCAATCTTCTGATTCGAAGTCAGACGCCTTATCCATTAGGCCACGCGGACATGAAATTCTTTGTAACTCTCTACATATATATAAGAACGCATTATGTATAAAAACCTATTTCAACATAGTATTGTGTTTATACGTTCTCTTCAAAAATACGATAAAATGGACGTGTCTCGTCGAATAGAATGGAGTAAGCAATGATTTAACAAAATCGAGTGTCAATCTAATCTTCCCGAGAGAGAAGACAATTTATTTTATCAAATATATCCCTATAGCAAGTTAAAATCACAGAATTAAAAGGGAAGCATCGTAGTGTAAACAGAAACCTCCGTCCGCGACAGGATTGGAACCTGCAATCTTCTGATTCGAAGTCAGACGCCTATCCATTAGGCCGACGGGACATAAATCTTTGTAACTCTCTACATATATATAAGAACGCTTATGTATAAAAAACTTTTCAACATAGTATTATGTTTTACCGTTCTCTTCAAAATACGATAAAATGGACGTGTCTCAACGAATAGAATGGAGTAAGCAATGATTTAAAAAATCGAGGTTCAATCTAATCTTTCCGGAGCAATTTATTTTATCAAATTGTATCTCCTAAGCAATTTAAAAATCACAGAATTAAAAGGGAAGCATCGTAGTGTAAACAGAAACCTCCGTCCGTGACAGGATTCGAACCTGCAATCTTCTGATTCGAAGTCAGACGCCTTATCCATTAGGCCACGCGGACATGAAATTTTTGTAACTCTCTAGCAAAATATATAAGAACGCATTATGTATAAAAACTGTTTCAACATAGTATTGTTTATACGTTCTCTTCAAAAATACGATAAAATGGACGTGTCTCGTCGAATAGAATGGAGTAAGCAATGATTTAACAAAATCGAGTGTCAATCTAATCTTCCAGAGAGAGAGAAGACAATTTATTTTATCAAATATATCCCTATAGCAAGTTAAAAATCACAGAATTAAAAGGGAAGCATCGTAGTGTAAACAGAAACCTCCGTCCGCGACAGGATTCGAACCTGCAATCTTCTGATTCGAAGTCAGACGCCTTATCCATTAGGCCACGCGGACATGAAATTCTTTGTAACTCTACATATATATAAGAACGCTTTATGTATAAAAAACTATTTCAACATAGTATTGTGTTTATATGTTCTCTTCAAAAATACGATAAAATGGACGTGTCTCAACGAATAGAATGGAGTAAGCAATGATTTAACAAAATCGAGTGTCAATCTAATCTTTCCGAGAAGACATTTTATTATATATGAAATGTATCTCATATATAGTAATTTAAAAATCACAAAATTAAAATGGAAGCATCGTAGTGTAAACAGAAACCTCCGTCCGCGACAGGATTCGAACCTGCAATCTTCTGATTCGAAGTCAGACGCCTTATCCATTAGGCCACGCGGACATGAAATTCTTTGTAACTCTCTACATATATATAAGAACGCTTTATGTATAAAAAACTATTTCAACATAGTATTGTGTTTATATGTTCTCTCCAAAAAATACGATGCATAAAATGACGTAATCTCAACGAATAGAATGGAGTAAGCAATGATTTAACAAAATCGAGGATCAATCTAATCTTTCAAAGCAGACATTTTATTATATCAAATGTATCTCCTATAGCAATTTAAAAATCACAGAATTCAAAGGGAAACACTGTAGTGTAAACACAAACCTCCGTCCGCGACAGAATTCGAACCTGCAATCTTCTGATTCGAAGTCAAATGCCTTATCCATTAGGCCACGCGGACATGAAACACATTTTAACTCTCTACATATCTATAAGAACGCATTATGTATAAGAAACTGTTTCTCCAAAGTATTGATACGATAAAATGGACGTGTCTCAACGAATAGAACGGAGTAAGCAATGATTTAACAAAATCGAGTGTCAATCTAATCTTCCCGAGAGAGAGAGAAGACAAATTATTTTATCAAATATATCCCTATAGCAAGTTAAAAATCACAGAATTAAAAGGGAAGCATCGTAGTAAACAGAACCTCCGTCAGCGACACAGGATTTGAACCTGCATCTTCGATTCGAAGTCAGACGCCTTATCCATTGTGGCCAAGCGGACATGAAATTCTTTTGTAACTCTCTCACATATATATATAAGAACGTTTCTTTATGTATAAACCTATTTCAACATAGTATTGTGTTTATATGTTCTCTTCAAAAATACGATAAAATGGACGTGTCTCGTCGAATAGAATGGAGTAAGCAATGATTTAACAAAATCGAGTGTCAATCTAATCTTCCCGAGAGAGAGAGAAGACAATTTATTTTATCAAATATATCCCTATAGCAAGTTAAAAATCACAGAATTAAAAGGGAAGCATCGTAGTGTAAACAGAAAATTCCGTCCGCGACAGGATTCGAACCTGCAGTCTTCTGATTCGAAGTCAGGCGCCTTATCCATTACGCCACGCGGACATGAAAGACTTTGTAACTCTCTACATATGTATAAGAACGCATTATGTATAAGAAAATGTTTCACCAAAGTATTGTGTTTATATTTTCTCTCCAAAAATGCGATAAAATGGACGTGTCTCGTGGAAATAAATGGAATAAGCAATGATTTAAAAAAATCGAGTGTTAATCTAATCTTTCCGAGCAGACATTTCATTTTATCAATTGTATCTCCTACAGCACTTTAAAAATTACAGAATTAAAAGGGAAGCATTGCAGTGTCAACAGAAATCTCCGTCCGCGACTAGATTCGAACCTGCAATCTTCTGATTCGAAGTCAGACGCCTTAGCCATTAGGCCACGCGGACATGAAACACACTTTAACTCTCTAAAATTTACTTCAGAACGCATTACAAAGAAAAATGTTTCACCAAAGTATTGTGGCCTTATTGCCTTCTTCAAAAACGATAAAATTGACGCGTCTCGTGGAAGAAATGGAATAAGCAATGATGTAACGAAATCGAGTGTGTCAATCTAATCTTCCCGCAGAGAGAAGACATTTTTTTTTATCAAATGTATCCCTATAGCAAGTTGGGAAACAGCCGCTATGGAAGTATCAGTGGAAGCAGAAAACCTCCGTCCGCGACAGGATTCCGAAACAGCAATCTTCTGATCTCGAATTCGCCAGACGCGTTATCCATTACACCACGCGTGAATGCCCACTTTGAAAATCCCCTACATATCTATAAGAATGCATTATGTATAAAAAAATGTTTCACCAAAGTATTGTGTTTTTACGTTCTCTTCAAAAATACGATACAATGAACGTGTCTCGAGGAAATGAATGGAATACGCAATAAAAAAAATCGAAGGTCAATCTAATCTTTCCGAGAAGACATTTTATTTTATCAAATTTATATTTCCTATAGCAATTTAAAAATCACGGAATTAAAAGAAAAGCATCGTAGTGTAAACAGAAACTTCCGTCCGTGACAGGATTCGAAACAGCAATCTTCTGATTCAAAGTCCGACGCCTCATCTATTAGGCCACAAGTACACGAAACACACGTTAACTCTCAACATACCTTTATGAACGCATTATGTATAAAGAAATGTTTCACCAAAGTATTGTGTTTTTACGTTCTCTTCAAAAAACGATAAAATGGACGTGTCTCGTAGAAGAGAATGGAACAAGCAATGATTTAACAATATCGAGTGTCAATCTAATCTTCCCGCGCGAGAAGACATTTTTTTTATCAAATGTTTCCCTTATAGCAAGTTAAAAATTATAGAATTAAAGGGAAGCATCGTAGTGTCAACAGAAATCTCCGTCCGCGACGGGATTCGAACCTGCAATCTTCTGATTCGAAGTTAGAGGCCTTATCCATTAGGCCACGCAGACATGAAACACATTTTAACTCTCTACATATCTATCAGAATGCAGTATGTATAAAAAAATGTTTCATCAAAGTATTGTGTTTTTACGTTCTCTTCAAAAATACGATAAAATGGATGTGTCTCGTGGAATAGAATGGAATAAGCAATGATTTAACAAAATCGAGTGTGAATTAATCTTGGCCACCAAAGAACCCAGAGGTTACGTTAAAGAAAAGACGCGTGAGCCCGTCACAATTGTTGCTATTTTCGAGTTAGAGATTTTGGCGAAAATTTAAGTGTAAAATTTTTAACGTAATTTCTTTCTAGCTATTAAGACCCTCGAGTAAATCACGTTTTCTTCTTGGATGGGATTGTGACGTGGCTTTATCGTTACTTCTAATATTGGACTCTTGGGATATCTTTGGGGCCAGAATGGCAATTCTTTCCAACCAACCCCAAAAAAAGAGCGTGGTTATGCAGATTAGATATTGTATATAATGGAATGTTAGTATTCGGGGAGAGCGCTAAGTGGAGAAGTAAAGCTAAGTGAAGTGAAGTAAAGCTCTAGGTGAAGCTCTAGGAGAAGAGTCTTAGTGTATTATGTGAGTTCTATGAGTCTGTCTAGTAGTGTCAGTGAATAGCTGCTTAATAAGTGGGTCCGAGACCAGAGACCCTTAGCCCGATCAAGTTGAATCGAAGAATAAATTGAAGATATAAGGACTGTAGCTGCACGCTGAGTAAGACAGTTTGATTAAGCTTTAAGACTAGAGCGGATTCTAATAAATTAGGAAATCAGCTACAAATATAGATACAATGGTTTATTGCGCTATTTGTCATAATTACGATTTACGTCGCATCACTCCTGATCATAAGCCTCCTAGACTAATGTTGTTTTATTGAATATAAATTAAGATCATAATAAACTAATTTTATAATGGCAGAGTTTAGTGGTCCATCTTTCATTTCCTCAAACATAGATCGCGTGGATGGTGACGAGATGATACTCCCAGCACTTGGAGTATCACGTTTATCTTGAATAAGAATTCGAATCTTTTGAAATGGTAACTTTAACAATAAAAAAACAACAACTAGAGTTGGACCCGATGCGAGAGTAGTGAAGAGACACCGTCACGCGCGCTCATTGGTTAAATCAAATAGCACGCACTTATGTTACTTCTTGTTACCCACTTCCGTCTTTTTTTCATGAACTCACTCCTACAAAATTCGACAATCGAGAGGAAAGATGTTACACATAAAAAAAATATTTTTGTATTGGGTTCGCAGTCCATTTGTGATAACGTATACATCTGTATGTAAATTCACTTTGAATGAAGAGGTAAAACTAATTTCGCTCTGTAATAATCGTTATTCAAATTAACAACATTCCAATTAGTGAATTTACTTTTTTGGATTTAAATTATAAGCGGATTATCTCATAATAGCCATATATATAAAAGCTTTAAAAATATTGTTACAATTTTCTACATTTTATTAGCATGAACTTTAATTTTCAACATTAACAAATATATAAAGAGGAAATAAATCGAGACTTTTAAATGTAGATGGCGAAATGAGAGTTTCATTATCATTTTTGCTACGCAATATAAATGAAATTATCAAAAATCATAGAACACAATTTTCCCATTAAATGTATTCTTATAATTAATTTGTAATTAGTTACTCAGTAAATATTTTGTTGTCTGTCGTACATATTATTTTATTTAACATTGAAAATTATTATCGTTAACTCTATTTAACATAGTGTATTACAGATAAGTAAGATTCTTTTCAACTTATTTTGTTGTTAGTTTGCCGCCAAATTTTGAAATTATTAAAAGTTTGAGAATCACTGCTTTAGAGAGTGATGTGGACTTAAAGCGTGCATCTAGGGATTGCAAAACAGGACTAAAAGTTCAATACTGGCATTCGGTATTTTTTAGGTCTTAATACCGGGATACCGGTTTTAATACCGGTAGTAGAAATTTTTTTTTAAAAAAAAGAAAGAAAAAAAACAGGTGTTGTTTGTTTTATATGTCAGTTTTACTAGAGAGTGTAAAAATTACAAAAAATAATGTGTAACTTATAAATTATAACAGTATATAAAGAATCGCAACAAAGTAAATAAACATCTTATTTATTTAAATCCAAAAAAAGTGTAAATATCACTATTCAATCTGTGGTTTTCATCATATAAATAATGAAACCAAACCGAAGAATTATCAATTGCTTTTTTATGTTCTTTAAGGTTATGCTTATTCATTATTATAGATTATTATTTATGAGTATGTATATAATAAATCTGAAAAAAATATTTTGAACCTTAAGTATGATGTGCAAATACAATGTGAGTAACAAACTCTTCCATTAAAAAAAATATCGAAATTATTACGCACTTTCTTCACAACTACAACCTTGTTTTCACAAATTCGAAAATGAAACTATGAATCCTGCGTGTGTGCAGTATCGCTCTGAGCTGTAATAGAATAGTTCTGGAACCCCTCCTTGGATGATTCACATATTTTATCACTTCCCTTAATTGTACGATGTAACTTTGTATTCACAATCTAATTAATTTCGCCCGTTAGGGAGACATAAAAACAAAAACATGTACTATTTTACTATGTTGGCGTTCCCTGAATATTTAATGGAAACAGTTTTAAAAAATTTCTAGTAAATACCGAAAAAAAGGTATTTAAACTTATGAATACTGGTATTTCAAAATTATACAAATGGCTCAAAAAACCGGAATTCTGTATCCCGGTATACCGGTATTGCTATCCCTGCGTGCAGCATCCCTACTGCAGGAGAGATAAAGGGCCCAATGTGTTAACGCCGCAAAAGTAATGAATCACCCTCCATTTGCTTCAAGTGCAGCCCTGAAGTGGCGCCAAAGGGACCTTTTCACAGGTAACATGGAATCTTTCAATGGAATAAATTGCCGACTTCCTCCTGCGCCAATCCTGT